TTTTGGCCAATGCGCGGATTGGCCGGCCAATCCTAGCATTGGCCGACTTCGGGCTTTGACCGTAACATATACAGTTTGAATCGTGTGATTAATTTTAAAAAAAATACAATACAGAAACAAATACAACTGATGTGGCACCTCTATTTAAATTTACTTATGAGCAAACTGCGTAGTGGTGGGGAAATTTCGACAAGGTCAACAACGTCATCACGATGAAGTAGTGGTATCAGTGGCGTAGCCAGGATCGTCTCGTGGGGGGGGGGGGGTAAAAAAAAATTCCGCATTATAAATGTATATATCAGAGACGTAGCGTCCCTCCCGGGCCCCCGAGGACAAACTTTTGATTTGCACCCTCCTCAAACTTTTTATTTCCACCCCCACCCCCCCCCCCCCCCTCAAACTTATGATTTGCACCCACCCCCCCCTCAAACTTTTGATTTGCACCCTCCTCAAATTTTTTTTACAAGAATTACAAAACAGATGTTACGTTCATTGTTTTTGGTTGTAGTGTGTGTATATTTTTTTTTTGTTTAGATTGATACATTTTTTGTTTTGTCGGCCTACATTGTGTGTTTTTTCTTATTTCTTTAGAGAGCTACTTTCAATTAAATTACATCATAGCGAAGTTATGACATATAGCTAGTAATTATATATATATATATATATATATATATATATATATATATATATATATATATATAATACACGTATATAGAACGTGTTAAAAATGCGGCGCCTTTTTTTGCTCTTTTCGCTCCCCCTACAACGAAAACCTGGATACGCCTCTTGGCTTTAGTATATAAATAGTAATTAATGTTTCTTTAATAAATGCGGTCTTTATATTAAAGTTTTTTTTATATTTATTTAGTAAAGTGTAGGGGCATCTTTTAGAATACTTTTACCCATTAATTCCTATGCACTGTAGGGGCATCTTTAAAGTAAAGTAATTATGCCCATATTCGTTCTTCATATTCAAGGAGATCTGTAGAGTAATTATGTCCAAAATTATTTTTATACACTTCAAGTCTATCTTTGAAGTAAGTATGCTTATATTCATATGATATATTTGAAAGGCATCCATACAGTAATTATACCCCTCATAATTTTTAATTTAAAAAAATTGGGGGGAAATTTGGGTAAAATTTAAGGGCATTTGCAGAGTAATTAAACCCATATTAATTTTGATAAATTTTTGGGGGCATCCTTTATTCACTTTTCCACACACAAAACATAACATTCATTAATAAGACAAAAGGGTGACTTTAATTTCAGTTTAACCACTACCGAATATTAGAGAAAATCACTGGTTACATTTTTATACAAAGCCGAGTTTATGCCTAAAACAAATATGGAAATATGTGAAATTCAGCTTGGTTGGTTTCTCCAAACAAAGAATGCAATGATTAATAGAACATGTGTTACAGTTGCTCTATTTCAACTTTAGACCAATTAAAATTAAAAACTACCACTAGCCTCTGCCACTAGGTATTGTAGAGATCGAGGAATTTTACTTCGTACATTATAAATCAATGATACTAGTTTAGTCTTATAATTGTGATATCGATGACGATACATTTGCCCCTTATTGGGATGTCGATGACATATGATTGCCATTTGTTAATAGTTGTGTAACTAGATGGCAGAATATTGACACTAATCAACATTTGTTTCTATGATTTTTAAGTAATTAGCTAAGTGACTTTATTTAGCTTTGCCTCCAAAACGATTTCTCTTTCATTAAACACGACTCACATAGAGATCTCGATATTGATCTTACAAGTTTCAGTGTTTGCCATTATGTAACTTTCTACCCTACAGATGCTGTGCCTTCAACCACAAGGAGCTGATGATGCCAGCCCCCCACCCCCAGCTCTACCCCTGGGAGAAAGACTTCCTGTCCCACCCACCTCTACGGGATATCAGTGACATCGCGTCAGCGGACAACTCCAAAGTGGTTTTAGTCAATGACTCCAGCACGTTCAGACTAGGGGACATCATCAACATTCAAGTGGTGCTGTTTAATGGGAGAGGGGAGAGAATTACAATAGGTAATGTCAAATTTACTGGGTTGCTCAATGGGAGAGAATTACAATAGGTAATGTCATATTTACTGAGTTGTTCAATGGGAGAGGGGAGAGAATTACAAAAGGTAATGTCATATTTACTGAGTTGTTCAATGGGAGAGGGGAGAGAATTACAATAGGTAATGTCATATTTACTGGCTTGTTCAATGGGAGAGGGGAGAGAATTACAAAAGGTAATGAGGGACGACTTATCGCAGCATCTACAAGGAATGTTATCATCGACGTATTTTCCCCTTCATGTCCAAGGCACAGGCGGCAGGGGAAGAAGAGTACACCTGTTTCAATAACCTTGACACATAGGTTAATAGTGTGCTCAGCACTATGCTCAGCCGCCTTGGTTTCACTAACGTGAGTCAGGTACCCTTCAGATCAGGATAGAATCAGAGACGTTCTACGTAAGTCAGGTACCCATCAGATCAGGATAGAATCAGAGACGTTCTACGTAAGTCAGGTACCCATCAGATCAGGATAGAATCAGAGACGTTCTACGTAAGTCAGGTACCCATCAGATCAGGATAGAATCAGAGACGTTCTACGTAAGTCAGGTACCCATCAGATCAGGATAGAATCAGAGACGTTCTACGTAAGTCAGGTACCCATCAGATCAGGATAGAATCAGAGACGTTCTACGTAAGTCAGGTACCCATCAGATCAGGATAGAATCACAGACGTTCTACTGGTTAGATCTTTCGGGTTAGAAATCGCAGCACACGGAAAGTAAAACTTTTCCCAATCAAGATTTCAATGTTCAACGCGTAGTAATGTTGAGTTTAATTTTTTTAACGACTGAATAGGGTTAACATCTACAAATAATGTGTCTTACTTACAAGCCAAAACTATTAAAGGTTAGTTACCTAGACAGACACGGTTACACTCAGCTTTCTAATTATTTTTGGTTCGTTTGGAGCTAGGTGTAACACTAATACAGAACACAATCCACAAAGTGAAATTGCTACAGCCAAGTATACTTTCCAACAACTACAAGAGAAACAGTGAACATTGACACGAGGGAAGAAAATAAACTGACGACTAGCTACGCTAAGTTGACGTTACATCACACTTTCAAGGGGAGGCCACTCTCACACACAATCTCTCGTGGCTACACACTTTATATAAACATCTACGTCACAGACATGTTATGCGTTTCAGAGATATTGGATACGGACAAACAGCCGACATGGACAAAAGGCCGACATGGACAAAAGGCCGACATGGACAAAAGGCCGACATGGACAAAAGGCCGACATGGATAAAGGCCGACATGGACAAAAGGCCGACATGGACAAAAGGCCGACATGGACAAAAGGCCGACATGGATAAAGGCCGACATGGACAAAAGGCCGACATGGACAAAAGGCCGACATGGACAAAAGCCTATTTGGACAAAGGCCGACATGGAGAAAGGTCGACATGGACAAAGGCCGAGATAGTCGACATTGATGAAAAGGCGACATAGACAACAGACTGATATCGTCTATCCCCAGGTGGGACCAGCGTCAGGGTGTGGCTGGTCACTGACTCCCTTAAAGCCGCCATCGCTGCTGACGTCACGGATAATTTAGACGGGACGTATCTGGCGTCGTGTCCGTTACCATGGAGTGGGTCAGTGAAGGTCAAGGCCGCTATCGCCCATCACAGAGAATTGTTCAGGACGAATTTATATTTTAAGGTATTTGATAGTCCCTTGTTTATAAACTATACAAATTGTGCGTAAACATCTTTTTGTTGGTTTAAATTACGCACAGCGCAGTGCATGGTGTGTAGTTCACACCTGACACACTTCTAGAACAGGAGAACTACCAGAACTAAAGTCTTGTATTATACACATTTTCTGATTATGAGTTTAGTTGTAAGCGAGTCACGGAAGGGACATAACTCCAGGTATTTTGCTTTGGTGCACATTTTTTTTAGTTTTTCTTCCAGTTTCGTTTTGCGCTTTACGGCGACGTAATTTTTTTCGATAGCATATTCATGAGAGCCACTATCTCTTGAAGATATTTCTCGCAACTTGTTACCTAGAGCACTTCCACTGTTCTTTATTGCTTAATTTTTTTTGAACAATGAACCCGATGTATTTTATTCGATCGTATGTCTGTCTAAATTATATTTTCTTAATGAATACTGTGTAACTATATGTATTTAAGTGTCGGTGGTATTTGACATTTGGAAACAATCAACCTTTTTTTTTTCAATTTTAACATTACTCAACCTGCCTCCCACTCACCCCCCCCCCCCACCCGCCTTGCTCCCACCACATACCCACCCCCCTTCTCTCAGAGACTTTTCACCACTACTCAATGGCTTCTCGCCACGTTTAACAACGGTACAAGGTCAGAGGTCACCCCGTGCTCAGCCGTCCCTAAACTACCCGGATATAACGTCACTGACATCTGTAACCTTACAGAGGTCAACCAGTTCCCGTGGTATTGTGGGAAGCCACGTGACTTAAAGGTGAGATGTATCTTATAAATTTAATATGAGGTTCATATTATTTATCCTTATTACCAAACGTATATATTACTCTGTCAGTAGAATATTATTATCACTCTATCCGTTGTATTATTGTACAGAATTTTAAAGTTTATTCCTGAGTTGTTTACTTCCTCAGTGCGCTGACTGGGCCAGTGTGAGAAAGGTAGATAACCTAGCCAATTACCCAATGACAAAAGCAGAAGGAGAGTTAGTTCTCCTAACTGAGAGGTTTGTTTACATAAAGCAAAGCTAGTGTTAAAATATCCTAATTCTATGTTCCGGAGTCAACATTTCAGAAATATTATATACACAAATTTATAATTTTCTTTAATGTCCCTTCCCCCCAATAGCAAACGGCCCTTCATGATCCCATTGAACATAACTCTCCACGTTTTACCAGGTAAGCGATTGGTTGATACAGTTTTAACTTATACACAGTAGTACATGTGGGATTGGATAAATTGTAAAAAAGTTGAAGAAAACTATAAGAAAACTTAGAATATCAATAAGCCTTAAACGCATACAAAAATTAAAACTTGATTTTATTAATAAAAACATTGGACGCCGAATTCTCCCCCCCCCCCCCCACCCCTCACGGAAGTTTAATACCACCCCCCCCCCCCCTTTCTTCAAAAGGTCTATACTCTATACCTTGTACTTATGTTCCACAGACAAAAATGATAAATTTGTGCCGACTAGGTCTATACTTATGTTCCACAGACAAAAATGATAAACTTGTGCCCACTTGATCTTATGTTCCTCAGACAAAAATGATAAACTTGTGCCCACCAGTTCCATACCCTGCAGTAAAAGAAACTTATCAGACACGTTTGATGACGTCAACACCTCTGGATTTTTTTACAATGGGTCATGGCGACCTCGAGCTTGTCAACTTCCTGTCGTGGACAAAACTTTCCTGCACAGGTGTTTGAATGGGACCCAGGTAAAAAAAAATTAAAATTAAACTCTTGTTTACATTTTCAACGGCTTTGTTAAAACATAGGTAACGTACATGATCATCTTTATTTTTGTGGATTACTTGTGGAGCTTAGGGACGGTGTGGTCAAACTGTAGGGCGCTCAACTGCTAACCTTAAAGTCTTGAGTTCGTACGACGTCCCTGAGCTCATCCAGCCCTAATGGGTACCTGACTCACGTTAGGGAAAGTAAAGGCGGCTGGGCATGTGCTGACCTCAATATTTTCATCTGCCGTTGTCAGTCTGATCCCCTTTAAAGTTTAACTTAACATGTGGAGCATAAGGTCGCAACCACACCTTATTTGGTCTACTCTGTTTTGGGGATTCCTCCAAGTTGGGTCCACAACATTCCTGCTGCTACTGCTTCACTGATATTTGATCTTTTCTACGTTTGTTTTGGCCAACTTACCTTCCTCTCTGTTTTGGCCAACTTACCTTCCTCTCTGTTTTGGCCAACTTACCATCCTCTCTGTTTTGGCCAATCTACCTTCCTTTTTTTAAGGATTCCCATCTTATGTGCATGATGTGATACATGCATCCGTTATCCGGAAGTCTGAACTTTTTATGTTTTTCATTTTCTTGTTCTCCACGTCACAGATCTAATGTACTTGTCAAACAGTTATTAAGAAGCAAGCTGGGAGTGGAGATGGGGGGGGGGGGGGTTAAGTTTGAGAAATCGATAGCCGTGATAAGTGTATGAATATCTGAATAAATCAACCAGTTAAGGTTATCTTAAATGTTTTATTGGTTAATGTTATCTCAGATAGTTTTTTTTGGGTTAATTTTATCTTAGTTGCTTTACCGCAATTGTTCATGGGTTAAAGTCATCTCACTTGCTTTATTGTTTAAGGTTACCTCAACTGTCGTATGGGTTAAGTTTATCTACCTAGTATTATGGATTAAGATGATCTCACCTAGCTATCACCCACCTGCCTACAGGTGCTAATCTTGGGCGACTCCAACTCCAGGCACCAGCTGGTGGTGCTTCAAACAATGACCGGATGCCAGCACAAGATGAAAAGGTCAAAGGTTAAGTGGAATTATTTCATCGTTTTATTTAACATCTCTCACCTACGTGGTAACGTTGTGGTCGGGCGATAGAGCGCGCGACTACTAACCCGAAGTTCTCGTGTTCGGATCCCTGGTTCGAGACCGTCGGACACTTCTGAGACCGCTCATAGCTAATGAGTACCTCATTAACTTAAGAGAAAGTAAAGGCTGAGCCTAGTTTTTACCACACTATCTCTTGATGTGCCATGTTATACTTGCGTTGGAGGAAATCCCGCCCAATTACAATGAATTCAGAACGAAGAAGAAAGAAAAAGAACAGACACTGAGCATTACGTTTAAAGCTAGTAGAATATCGCTGTGTAAAATACGTTGATCAATAACATAGAATTCGATCAACAAGCTAGTCCCAAACAACATAGATAGATTTTGTAGATTAGATAAATAATTAGTTATTTTATAATTTTAGATACATCATCTGTTATTTTATAATTTTAGATACATCATCTGTTTTTTTTTATAATTTTAGATACATCATCTGTTATTTTATAATCTTGAACTCATATTACCCTCAGGAAACTAAACACGCCCCATTACAGTGTGATATAGACAATCTGGGATTGTCGATTAAATATTTCCTTCCTAGACATCCGTTTTATGGATCTATAGTAAGTCATGTCGTAGTCGGTTCAACTTTGGTTCATCAAGCTTTTATTTAGTTCAATTTGTCTGTTGTTGTTTTTGTTTGTTTGTGGGTTTGCGGCAAATCTTGTAGGTTAGTTTTAACACCCTTCTCTTTTAATATAGCTATTTCGTTCAAACTTTTCAAGACTGTTCAAAGACTATCTAACTCAACATTAAAAGGGAGTAATCAAGATGAAATGCTAGCTTTTGTTCGATAAACAATCCGCCTCTTAGACAGAGTTTCTGCCAGGCATCTGTTCGGGGGAGGGGAGCAGAGCCCCCGAACGAGATTCATATAGTAAACATATACTTTTACTAGTGTCCGCCCCCTCCCCGGAAAATGTAGACCGCTCCCCCGAAAATACCAAGTGCCCCCGGAGAAAAATGTCTGGAAGAAACACTGCTCTTAGAGTTGATGTAGCGTAATGAACATTAGAATTTCGAAGTTTTGCAGGGACGAAGTTGGGGTAAAATTAGTTAGTTCCCATTTCCTTTTTAAAAATACTGAGTTAAAATAGTTAGGGTAAGACTACGAGAAGGTTTAAGTCTTAGGTAAGTTAAGGCTAGAGGAAGATTTTAAGTCTTTGAAATATCTGACTAGTTAAATTTTACATGTATTTAACAGGGCGAGGACTTACCTAATAGTGTTCTCCACTCTACCATACAAATCATGGACGGTATCCCAGCCTCAGGTAAATACCTGGTACACCTGCACCAGTTCCTGCACCTGATGCCGTTTCACCTGTCTGTAGCCGAACATCACCTCCGTCTAGTACGTGCGGCTATACAGAGACTGGTATCACGGAACCCTAGCGTCTTGGTAGTCTACCAAACCGCGCACACGGCACTAGCGGGAGTCTACCGCAACAAGCAGACATTGGGCGTCTACCTTCTGGAACTACAGAGGCGGATGTTGAGGGGGTTAGGGGACAGGGTCATGCTAGCCGTGACCTGGCCCATGACCCTTGTTTCAGAGAACTCCGATCCACACCCAGCAATAAGAGACCAGTTTTTGAAGTTGTATATGGGTCATTTATGTGGAAGGTTTTAAATGTTACATTATACAGCAATGTAGAAATATAATGATCAGAATAATGATGATCATTATACACAGGAAATTGTTAACTAAGACATGTTAACATTGTTAACAAATTCATGAATGAACACGTATCAGCAGGGCACGGAGTGGTCGGGTAAGGTAGTGTAGGACTGGTATCCCCAAAAGTCTCGAGTTCAGACCCACTTGCAGATGAGCCTGTAGGCAGCAATCCATCAAGCAGATAAAACTTCAAAAACAAAAATCTGCTGCCTTGTAGATTGCTCTTTGTTCAAATGGAAGAAGAAAATCAGGCCGAAATCGTAACACAACAGAAAAATGGCATTTAACATGTTGACATGCAATATTTAATTGTGTTGGAGGAAATCCGCTTCAGTAAAACAATTAGGAACTTAGAAGAAGAAAATATATCAGAATGTTATTGCAAGTTGAGTTCTTGGGTTCAATTCTCGGTAAAACATGGACTCACGTGATAAGGAAATTCTACATTATGCTTTATGAGAAGCTGACCGGTGAACTCTACTTCATCTGCTCTAACAGGAGGCTTGTGTTACGGTGAAGCCGAGGGGTAGAGCGCACGTTCATCAACCCGAAAGGCTGGAGTTGAGTTCACGAGCAGAAGTCAGTAGTCGCCCCTTGAGTTCATCTAAGTGTATTGGAAGTTAAATACAGATGGACTGCGTGCTGGTCACACTATTCATTTATATACGTAAGTCAGAGAAACAGACGAACTCTACTTCATCTTCCATGTGAACTATCTGGTCTGAAACAGTGCTTCTACCAAGAAAACTTTCTTTTGCAGTAATGTACTTTATACCCATTTTAAACTATATGCACAGCAAGTTTTACTTTTTATGTTTTAACTTAGCATAGAATAAAACCTCTTACTCGATCTAAGAGTCAGGTTTTCGATTATTACAGATTAGGAGTAAGTTGAATTTTGTTTGTTGTGTAGTAAAATCAATAAAGTTGAACTAATACATTTTTTTTTAAAAGTCTGTTTATTTATCATGTAATCTGAGTCACTCACTCACTCTAACCTTTAAACACCTGTTTCAACGTTTTCAATGTGTGACGGGAGCTATGTGAAGCTCTACTATTAGACGCGCTAGTATATGACGCTCTAGTATGCGACGCGCTAGTATGTGACGCGCTACTATGTGACGCGCTAGTATGTGACGCGCTACTATGTACCGCGCTACTATGTGACGCACTACTATGTGACGCGCTACTATGTACCGCGCTACTATGTGACGCACTACTATGTGACGCGCTACTATGTACCGCGCTACTATGTGACGCACTACTATGTGACGCGCTACTATGTACCGCGCTACTATGTGACGCACTACTATGTGACGCGCTACTATGTGACGCGCTACTATGTGACGCTATAGTATGTGACGCGCTACTATGAGTCGCTTTACTATGTGACATGCTACTATGTGACGCATCAGTGTGCGACGCTCTACTCAGCGACGATCTGCAATGCGTTAAATGAATGTGACGCGCTCAGCGACGCGCTCCGTGACGCGCTCTGTGACGCGCAGTGTAAATCGCCGAACTAATTTGTAACTTTACGCTATAACGAAATTCAACAAGAAATACAAGACGAAAGTCCTATAACTCTAATGTCAATTAACTCCGTCGTAACAAAGATAATACAGATTTAGTTTACACAATGCTACTAGTAAACACCAAGCTAAGTAAGTAATATGGAAACAAATGAACTACGAAAAAAACGGCGCTTTAATACAATTAATCAGTAACTTAATACAAACTTATTCTGTAACATTTTAACTGAATTCTATAAACACATGAATTACGATATGACTACTTAAGAAAATAACATGATTAATGAAAAAAAATATATTACAACAATTCACAGAATGATAAACATTCAAGTCACATGGAAGAGAAACGCATTTCCCCCACCCCTTTCCATACCCCCCTCCACCCTACATACACATTTAAAACCTTTTTCTGTTTACACACTTTCAAACAGGCGCCGCCTCTCTTTTTTAAATCACTACCAACCCACCACTCTCCCGCAGAAGTGAATGTTTGCGACTATTGGTTTCTGATCTCTCTAGTGACTTTACTTCTGACACATTTACAAAACAGCTCGTGGTAGCTCAATCGGAACTTTTTGCTCACAGTGACGTAAATGATGAAGTTAGATGACGCGTTCAGCTGATACAGCCAGACATTGATGTACTGGAGAGAGTTGTTCAAATTCTCAGGTATAAACGACAGGTAAGAATCTATCACACTTGACGGCAGGTAGGTGAAAAAAGTCACCAAACACACCGTCAATAACATTTTGGCGATTTTTCTTTCATTCCTAGTTTTTGACGACCCTTGCGCTATCGGCATAGATTTCCCGCAGTTTAGTTTGTATATTATAAAAACGGAACAAATAATAATTATTATTAAAGGGATGTTGGAAACTAAATTGTTGACGAAATATCCGCGGTAGTTTTCTAAGCTATCGAAGCGGTCGAGGTAGTACTGGGAGAACACAAACTCAGGGAGGGTGGCGTTGTAGCGCTGGTCAAATGTCCAACTGTAGTCGTAGTAGTTGAACACGGGACAGCAAATAGCCAGCATGTAGATGTAGATAAAGACAACGACGACACGGACGCGCTGGGGGGTGAAGACGCGACCGACGTGAAACGGGAACAAGACGGCGACGCAACGCTCTATAGCAATGGCTGTAGACAGGCAGAAGCTGACCCCGACCCACATCTGGTTGGGGAAGATGTAGACCCGGACGAAAGTCGTGACGTAAGCGGAAGTCGGGTAGTCGAATTTTGAAACAACGCAGCATAGACTCTCCGAGAAGAAGAACAACGAGGTCAAAAGGTCACTGACCGACAAGGACATGAGAAGGATGTTTGTAGTCTCGTCCATGCCGTGAGACCCGAGAATGATGATGTTGAGGATGTTGCCGACGACGCCGATGATGCTGGTGAGGTGAAGGAAACCACAGTCGAGGAAAGTGTAGAGAACCATGAACGTCTCGAAGCTGAGGTCGTCGTAGAGAGCGTCTGCAACCGTTTGGTTCTCGATGGTTGTTTTACCGGGACCCTCGTCAGGGGTTAGGGTTTGATTCTCTCTGATGCTCATGGTAGATAGATCTGGAACGGGTGCCATGTGACCGTGTCACCGTCAGTAGGGTGGACTGTGCTGCTGATGTTTGAACTCGATTGATTTCAACAACTTTAGCGACATCTAAGGTTTGTATGGCTTTAAAAACTTTTATTTCCTCTAAAACGTTTTCACACAAAATCTTTTGAAAAATATTTTATCAAAATGATACAACTTGATTTGAACTAAATTATAGTAATCATAAAAATACGTTTTATAAGAAAAAGTTATATTTATAATAGAAATCAGTTAAAAACCTACAGACTTAAAGAAACCAAACGTGCATAATCCATCAAGTAATAAATTACTTTAGCTTGATTTATCTTTTGGATTAAAAAGAGTAAAAAGCAAATTTTATCTTACGGTTTAAAATAATACAACATTATTTAATTTTAATCGAAATTTTAGTGCGTTTAAATAAATCGAAACAAAACCTGAAGTCTATAATAATTTGTATTGAGTTAGCATTAATTCTAGGCGATGAAACTTAGATTAAGGACCAAATAGCTATCTATGTAGAATCTTCTTAACTTCTTTCTAGGACTTTAGTTGTAATATACATTGTTGGTGAATTTTAACGAACAAAGCAACTGGGAATTCATAGTATGATCAAAGTGTAATATGTGAAGATGTATGAAAGGTTTTCTTTAAAAATACTACTGTAGTTTTAAGCACTGAGGATGTCAAGACCATATAGAATAATTTCACCCGATGTTTCCAAGAAAAGTTAATAAACTAACAAGTATTGTCAAGACTTACACAACATATCAATCTATTTATTTCTACTCTGCTTTAGAGTGGAGATTCATCTCGAAACGTAGCCTTTACGAATACAAAATGAAGTCAAGATGGATCAATTCCCCCATACGTCGCTACTACAGCAACAATCCAGCTAAACTTAAGATTTACCAAATCAGGCAATTACACTTGAAAAAATACGTCGTTGGTGCTTGAACGAAATTTTATTGATTGCAATATCTCGTTACCGTTGACAAGGTCAACAAATAAATACAGATCGCAATATTTTGTACTTGAACAATGATTTCAACAATATCATTCAATACAAGTAATTAGGGAAATGAGTTTTAAATTTTAAAAATGTTTTAGCTTTTAAACAGACGATTGTTCAAATTGTTGTTTAAGGGAGTGACCTGGCAATCCAGTCGTGTTCCTTCTATCAATACATCGATCACCCCAATATTGAGCTGAGTTTCACGGAGCTAAGTGTCACGGAGCTAAGGGTTGTTGGAGAACCACGAGAGCCACTTGGATTGTTCTTTATAGGAACAGCCATCCTCCCCCTCCCCCATTCTTCCCCCACGTCTCTTAGCAGAAGTAGGTAATTTCTACATCGTCAAGATCAGGTATGTTTCGATTTTAGTGACGTCACATGTCTCAACCTTCTGCTTGCGCGGTGTAAGATTGGACAGTATGTCTACAGCAGCACTTGTCTTAACCGTTGAGCTGATGACGTAAATTGTAAACCTTCTCCATTCCCACCCCCTCACAATAACTCTACAGGCCAGATCAACAATGATAACAAAAAATGTCACCATTCCAATCACAGTAATATTTGTTTTAAGTTAACATACACTCCCCATCTCTTGCTAAATTTTAATGCTCTATTTTAAAACTAATCACTAAATTTTTCTTTTAAACGATTGCACCAAGGAAAAATTATGTAGTGACATAAAACAATGGTATCTTCATGAAACAATGGATCAGTTATAGCCTTAGTGTTTAACTTTAACCAAAACATTCCAGCATATTCTACATTACTGGTACATGAGTAAATGAGCTGACATGAGATCCCACGACCCAGAACATGCCAGTACCATCACTTTAATCTTCATACAAACTGCCCACTTCATCAACATACTCGCTGTGATTTTAAGCTACGACGCCATTCAAAATCTCTACATGTGTTTCATTGTGTTTTGTAAAATACATCTTAATAAGAACTAGTTTTATTGTGTTTTTGTAAAATACATCTTAATAAGAACTAGTTTTATTGTGTTTTTGTAAAATACAACCCAATTTATTTTTCCGTACGTTTACCCGTCAACATTGAGGACGTATCGTTTTAAATCTATCCCTTAGACAAAGTAGTATAACGTCACAAAAAGATAACTTTGTGTTTACATAAGTAAGGAAGATACAAGAAAGATGAGGAAGATTTCTGGAAAATAAGGAAGAGAAGAAAGAGAACAAACGAACTGCTAATGGCTAGATGAGATGTAGGATATGGAAAGAAATTCACAAATTGAAGAAAATATTTGCCATTAAAGTGGGTTGGAAAATTGTGATATCGATGTTTTGCATGGGAATTGAACGGAATGAGACACAAAATGTATAAAATGTAACACAGAGTGCTGATCAGCATTATCGTAGCTGTTACTAGTGTTTTACATTTTCATTTAAAGTTAACATTTTCAATGTATGATTGTGTTATGCTATAATTTAAATATGTGTGTTACACTATTATAGTTGAGTTCTCCAACACTCCAACAATAATAGTCAATATTACGACAAGTTCTAAGTTTTTTACGTGGATTATGGTATTAAATTAAAAGACTATAGCGTCAGCATAAAAAAATAATACTGTTTAATTGGTGTTTAAATATGATAAAAATCATACTTAAACGCTGACTTACTTTAATATCAATTTCATTTTAAATAAGTATACGTGTATTCAATTTCTTAAGAACATTTTTTTAATAAAACAAGGTTCAAAACAGTGAAGTAGAAAAAACATGCAACTGAATTCAAAGGAGAGATAGTGGCGCTATAAAAACTATCTCTTTCAATGACCTGTTTAAATAATAAAATCAGATTTATTTAAACTAAAATATTAATTTAGTATAAATTAGCATTTAGTATGTAGTCGTCAAGTAGAGAAAAGTAAAAGTTTTGAAAATTTGTTTGGTAACTACATAAATGTATTAAAAAATTGATTTCGCACATTAAAGTTATTAAATTAGATAAGTAAATAGTTCATATTTGTGAATTTTTATTTATGATTTTAACTTTTAGAACAAATTTAAGTAACACTCATACAAAATAACGGAAAAAACAACAACTATTATCTTTTAACATTTCTTTTTTGTTTCTTCTTCTAGTGTTGAGATTTCATAAGAAGACACAAAAATAAGTAACACTGGGATTACAATATCACAAACATTCTTTACTGTTTGCATAATTTATTAAAAGTAAAAAGTAAGTTTAAAACAGTTTTAGGTATTGTTTCTTAATAATCAACGTTAAAAAATGATATAATATGAGCAAAACATTTTAAAAACATAGACTTACTAATTGAGGAAAAAATAGTTTCGGTACTGATTTTATACAATACAAAAGATAAATCAAAATAAGATTTAGTTTACAAATTTATAATAGTAAGTTTATTCTCGTTATTTGATCCTATAAGTTATTTACCCTTTTTGGTAAGGCAGTCAAAAGTTTTGGTAAAGTAGAGTTCACCTGTTTCTGTGAACTCGGCATTTGAAAGGATGATGTGGTCAGTTTTATGTTCAGCCGTTACACGTTCCTTAACTGGAGTCTGTATCCAGCAGATAGGATACAATCGTGGAATTTAAACTCGAGGATCCAAACTAGAGACTTTCATTGACGAGGTCGTTAGCTCTTCCTCCCGAATACAACGTCGCATTTATTAAATATTAAAAAAAACTGTGCTTTATAAGAATATCAATAGTAATAAAAATTTATCTTTCTCAAATCGTTCCTGAGGTATATAAAGACAACACATTTCAATTAAAATCAAAGTTGGTAAAAAGTTATTTCACGTGTGTTATATAAACAAACACAATCTGAGGAGTTTATTACATGTGTGTTATATAAACAAACACAATTTGTGGAGTTTATTACGTGTGTGTTATATAAACAAACACAATTTGTGGAGTTTATTACGTGTGTTATATTAACAAACACAATTTGTGGAGTTTATTACGTGTGTTATATTAACAAACACAATTTGTGGAGTTTATTACATGTGTGTTATATAAACAAACACAATTTGTGGAGTTTATTACGTGTTATATAAACAAACACAATTTGTGGAGTTTATTACGTGTGTTATATAAACAAACACAATTTGTGGAGTTTATCACATGTGTGTTATGTAAACAAACACAATTCGTGGAGTTTATTACGTGTGTTATATAAACAAACACAATTTGTGGAGTTTATTACGTGTGTGTTATGTAAACAAACACAATTCGTGGAGTTTATTACGTATGTTTTATAAACAAACACAATTTGTTGAGTTTATTACATGTGTGTTATATAAACAAACACAATTTGTGGAGTTAGTTACATATGAGTTATATTAACAAACAAAATTTGTGGAGTTTATTACGCGTGTTATATTAACAAACACAGTTTGTGGAGTTTATTACATAATGTAATCAATAGATATGTTAAATAATTATGGTTACTTTGACAAAATGTTGTCATTTTTTATAACACTCGTTTAGGAGCTTTCAACGTTACATCTATAATGTGTCATTTATTAGATCTATCATCCATAATGTGGCAGTGCAACGTACAGGTACGTAAAGTATCATTTGATTTTAAAAAGTAATCAACATTCGACATGTTTTAAAAAACAAATATAAAACTCAAAGATCTATTTGTTTACTGGCGGCAGATATTCTCCGGCGTAGTTCAGAGCTGTGTAGGCCCCACAAACAAATTTATAACTCCAAGAACTATCTGTTAACCGGGGGCAGATATTCCCCGGCGTAGTTCAAAGCTGTGTAGGCCCCACTGTGCAGACGTGGACTAAAAATGTCCCCTAGCGTGTACACATAGGCGCCACTACTCCCTGGGCAAGTCTGTGTCGTGTACACATACTTGACCCAATAGTCTCTGTCTCGGTATCGTTCAGTATTGTAATCGAATCCACTCATCGATATTTGATGTTTTAAATACCCGAACGATACTTGCTTGGAGCAGCCGTGTGGATGCGACACGACAACGGTTAGGCTTAGTTCTTTTTTTATTTCCTGGTTTACAGATATGAACCGTTCATTGGCTTTTTCAAATCGTGAAACTTCTGCAGTATTATGGGTAACACACTCAAGGATGTTGAAGGCAATTGTCTGAACGACTGTTAACTCAACGCCATCTACAGTGATCGCGACCATCTCCTGATTTCCGCGAATTTCTAAAATATCTCTAACGCTCTCGAAAACATGCGCCGTTGTTTCAATCGTAAGTTTCGCCCATTTTGTCAAAGTTCGTGACCTTTTACAGTAAAGACAAAGACATACTTTTTCCTTGTTGTTAAATTTTTCAACCTTCAAAATCCTACCTGCTCCGTTTTCTATTGGCGCCTGCGATCTACCGTTCAATAAAACAGAAACAGTGACGGTTATTCCAGCAATGGATTGGATCAACTCCCATAGAACTTCTTGAATTGATAAAGGAATGTGTTCTAGTGTTAATTCACGAATGGGAATAAAATCTTTGTGATTTGGGTTTTTTTGGCAATCAACCCAGAACAAGTTGGTCTGTGCCTCAGCCCAGTCACTGCCCTCGGGGACCCCAACACCTAGATTGGAGGTAATACTAATTGATTAATTGCATTAATCCATGATTCATTATTTAGATATTATACATATTGATTTATTGCATTAATCCATGATGCATTATTTAGATCTTAGACATATTGATTTATTGCATTAATCCATGATTCATTATTTAGATCTAATACATAATTATTTATTGCATTAATCCATGATTCTTTATTTAGATATTATACATATTGATTTATTGCATTAATCCATGATTCATTATTTAGATCTAATACAAATTGATTTATTGCATTAATCCATGGTGCATTATTTAGATCTAATACATATTGATTTATTGCATTAATCCATGGGTCATTATTTAGATATTATACAAATTGATTTATTGCATTAATCCATGATTCATTATTTAGATCTAATACATATTGATTTATTGCATTAATCCATGATTCTTTATTTAGATTTTATACATATTGATCAATTGCATTAATCCAGGATTCATTATTTAGATCAAATACAAATTGATTTGTTACATTAATCCATGATTTATTATTTAGATCTAATACAAATTGATTTACTGCATTAATCCATGATTCATTATTTAGATCTAATACAAATTGATTTATTGCATTAATCCATGATTCATTATTTAGATCTAATACATATTGATTTATTGCATTAATCCATGATTCATTATTTAGATCTAATACATATTGATTTATTGCATTAATCCATGATTCATTATTTAGATCTAATACATATTGATTTATTGCATTAATCCATGATTCATTATTTAGATCTAATACAAATTGATTTATTGCATTAATCCATGGTGCATTATTTAGATCTAATACATATTGATTTATTGCATTAATCCATGGGTCATTATTTAGATATTATACAAATTGATTTATTGCATTAATCCATGATTCATTATTTAGATTTTATACATATTGATCAATTGCATTAATCCAGGATTCATTATTTAGATCAAATACAAATTGATTTGTTACATTAATCCATGATTTATTATTTAGATCTAATACAAATTGATTTATTGCATTAATCCATGATTCATTATTTAGATCTAATACATATTGATTTATTGCATTAATCCATGATTAATTATTTAGATCTAATACAAATTGATTTATTGCATTAATCCATGATTAATTAGTTAGATCTAATACAAATTGATGTATTGCATTAATCCACGATTAATTATTTGTATCTCTCAATTTTGTCTTACTAATTATCCAATTTCTTTTTTTACTCTCTTACCTAAAAAGTTACATTGAATGCTGTCTTGAGTTGTCAAATCTAAAACAATGAACAATGTTAAAGTTTACTGGAACTCAAATTGAGGAAATACTAATTAAAAGTGTATTAATTCTTAATAGCCATATTTTTTTATATTACTATACTAAACAATCATGCGGAATTTGTTAAAAAAATATAAATTTTTTGTAAAATAATAATTGAATGCGATCGATTTTCAGGGAGCGATAGAGTTCCAAGTTCCCGGTCGATTTTAATTATGTTTTTTTTTAAAAAAGGATGCTGACATTTGTAGTTTTAATAGTTGTTTCTTAATCGTCCTACGTTACAGTTAGGAACGAAGGATTTAAAAAAAACAACTCACCATTCATGTTCAAATTGCTTTGAAAAAACGTGGGAAATTCTTTCCTTAGGACGTATACAGCCGCCTTGCGGTAATAGGTCGTGCGTATTCCGTGCAAACTGTCAACTCCAATTTGGCCATCTCTGCTCCAGTTTTGTGGCATGTCCCCTACAAAAACTTTCTTACGGCCATCAGTTTGCTGCGTTACAACAACAACAGCATCTTGCAACTGTTGAAACTGTTTGTTGATTTTCTCGCACAATTTTTTGAATTTTTCGCCTATTTTCTCCAGCCGATCCACCAACCACAAATCGTGTGTGTAGCACGTCATCAAACAGCCGTCGCCTATCATCCTGGTATCGGCCTTACACCCCCACAACATTTCGCCTAGACAGTCCGGACTGTCGCACCCCATAAAAGCTGTAGCACACTTAGCCTCGCTGTTGTCAAATACAAGATGTTTGGCTGTAATGATTTGTATCTCACCCCACTGTCGCGTGCAATCTTTTCCATTACACAGCTTTAAACACGGACAAAACACGTCATCAATTTCTGTGTATTTGATGACCTTCATCAAGACACCAGTACCTGACCTCCTCTCCGTGCTGTTTCTGCTGCTGTAATAAGGGTAAGGTGTCGTCGTATTGGGATAAAACTCAGGCCTTTCAGCACTGGTAGAAGCTACTTTTATTAACATTGTGTTTTCGGCATGACATTTTATTAATTTCAGCAGGTCGTCTTTACAAATAGAAGGAAGAGGTGATATGCTGCCATCTTTCAGAATAACTTTCTCTTTCGGCGCTAAATTATCCAAGTGCATAACCTCTTCTTCTCCAAACACGCCTTTGATTTCTGACATGAATGTATAATTTACATTATATATATATATATATATATATATATATATATATATATATATATATATATATATATATATATATATATATACTTATATATATATGTATGTATATATGTATATATATATATATATATATATATATATATATATTGTGTATGTGTAAAGACATTTTTTAAATACTGTACTGTATTAAATGATGCATAAGTAAACCATAAATAATTAAAGAGATTTCAAACTTTCAGATACTAGAAGAAAAGTGTTATTTAAATGGCTGAACTATTATCATTAAAATGTTTAGTTTTTAACACGTTCCTTTTTAATTAATTTACTTTGTTTTAAACACTGTATTATTTAAAATATTCAATTAATTAATTATTACTATTTGTTACTTACTTGGTTTTGTTTTGTAGAAAAAAGTTTCTGGAAATCTAGATACATCTTCTAAAGAAAATAAATATTTTTTTACAAATTTTTACCGTCATTGTGTAGGACAGCAAACTACAACCTAATTCGTAATTTTAGGACTATTTAATGACAAACAGGGGACATGGCCAGCGTTTGTTTTTTCCAGTTTTTTTCATTTTTTGTTAATATTTACTCATATTGTTATTTTTGTTTCAAATAGGGGCCTAATTGTTGCTTTTGTTCTACACATTTCACATTGCCTGTAAGTCTGCTTGTTATTTCGTTAAACGCCTTGGTTAATGTGTTTTATTGAAAATGGCTTTCATTTAATTTAATTCTTAGTCGAAAAACGACATGCATCTTTTAAGCACTTCCTACTTTACTGGAAACGGGGCACATAATTATAATTGAAACAGTTAAAAAGAGAGCATATACTTATAACTTTTTATATCACGTTTACTTAAAAATGATTACGTTAATGATAGACAATAAATACCTTGAACTACTTTTGGTTCTGTTTCTTCACAAACTGTCGTATGCTCTGCACGTAGAAATACATCAGTAAAACAAAAACAAAATATGTTCATATATTTAATGACTTTTTTAGTATCCATATGTACGACAATTTGATCATTTTACATCACATCAATAAATATGAAACAGATAACTATATTAAAAGTAATGTGAAATGTGATTTGTTTAAGAAATAAATTTAAATTACAAAAGGAAATAGTTTTACACAACAAATGTTTTTAAATAGACCGCACTAAATTTAGACTAAATAAACATTTTAGCAAACTAGCAAAGATAACCTTAATTTGCAAATTTGTTAATGTCTTTTCTTTTTCTTTTAAGTATGAAAGCTTTTATCTTTACATATGACGAAAGTTGATTCCTTACCGTTTCTGAAAGCAGGCCCATCAACCACTGTTTTGGAAAAAAGAAATTTGAATGTAAACCAGTTTAAATTTGTGTAGAGTTTAACTTAGTTTACACTAAAAATCGATGTATTTATGTAATGTTCTATTGTAAGTTACATCAAATTATTTAAAACTATAACATACAAAGTAAAGTTTAATTTACACAGAAATATTTGCAGAAATAGTAAAGTTTTCGCTAGACGAGTTTTTTTGCGCAAAATAATACTATGTATACTATGTATTTTTTTGTTGAGTAAGCATTCGCATTTTGCACAAACATTTATTATCTCGATTAACACAAATACAAGTTAATTACAGATTTAAATGTATGTAGAACGTTTTAACTAATAGCGTTACGTTTTGAGATTCTTAACGTTAGTAGCATTACTAAAAATCGATAAGAGGAAGAAAATAAAATCAATGGAGACGATGTCGAAGTACGTGCGTTTACGCTACTTTGTCGTTGTCTATTTTACAACTTTCGAGTATTTAAACATTTTTTATTGATCAGGAATATTCTAATTGATTATTTCTGACATGTCATTCTAAATGCCAGCTCATTGGGAAGGTATAGTTACATATGTAATTTATATTGGACTTTGCAAAAAAAAAACATTGATGTTATCAGAATCAAACATTATCAACTTTTAAAAAAATCATTTGTGATTACATTACTTAAGTTTAGATACACAATATGGATACAGTGATACAGTATTTTATGTAATAAGAAGTGCAAAACAAGTTGTTATTTTTTAAGTGACAGAGTGGCAAATGCTTAAATATTTTTAAATGGTAAATATAAATACTTACCATTTACAACAGCTTGCACTTCAAACTTTTGTTCTTCAAAAGAAAATAAAAAAAGAAATCAATCTATTTTATTTCTTACTTTTAAATGTGAGTTTAACACATTTTAAGATGTTATCAATTATAATTATGTTTAATATGTTATACTAGTTTTAAAAATCAATGATATAAAACTGCGTTATGAAAATAATAACAGTAGTCAAACAATAATTTCAAACATGTAAAATGGAAATGTAAACTAAATAATAATGTTTTAAAATATTTTAAGATGTATAGCTTAAAGTAAACAAGATTTAATAAGAGGGCTGCGATAAAAATATTTTACTTCTCGCTGCATGTTAAAACACTTACCATTTTGAACATTTGGAACATCTCCGTTCTCATATACATCCGCATCTACAATTAATAGATTGTTATATTAATGGGAATAATTTTTATTTATTTGTGAAGGTTTTCTCAGATAATTGTATGTCATCGGATTTCCCGATAAAAATGTCGGAAAACACGTGCGCGTCTGGTTTCAATAATTTGATCCACCTTGCATAGCATTCGGTCTACGAACTTTATATTATATTGCTTTGTCAAATAAATTTTCAAAATAAATAGATTGTGATCACAAAACCGCGGTTCAATTGCAGATATGTTTGCATTATATTAATCAATAAATGTGTGATTTAAACACTTGTTCACAGAAAAGGCCTCAAAATAATGTAAATGTTAATGTTTAAAAACATTAAACGTAATGTGGTTTTAAGTTAATAAATAAATGTTTAGTTGGTAAATATGTTGATAAAACAATAAAATCTTACTAAACGGATGTCCTAGGGTTTAAAAATTATCTAAAAATGTTTATATTTTTTTCTTTAAGTTTGTTGATCTGAATACGTAATTGTTTTAAATATATAGCATTATAATTTAATGCATAAGTGCTGAAAATGACGTTTAGATTAAATAAACTGGGAGTGATCTCCCCTAAACTTTCTGGAATATTCTTATATAAAACAACAGGGGATGGGAACTCGGGCTATAGACATGATTTTTAATCCATTTTAAATACTTAAAGTTTTAAAAATAGAATAAAATCTCGTAGACAAAAGAATTGCACACCAAGTGAACGCCAAATAAAAAAAGTGCATAATAGTGCGCAATATTATTAGTACTTTGAAATTTTCCATTAGTTTTTTGAGAAATCGGAAATAGCGTAAATTACTACTTCCCATCAACGGAAATTACTCAAAATTTAACAGAAGGTAGAGAATTAGATCTTACACTTACATGTGAAATTTCATTTATCTATCTGAAATAGTACTCAAGTTATAGGCTTTTGAAAAATTCAAAGTAGAAAAAGTACCCCTTCCGGTTATCGAAAATCGCTCAAAAGTTGATATGGATCTACGATTTTGATAAAATAATTATATATGAAATTTCATCAACCTAGCTTTAACGGTACTCAATTAATCGTGTTTACACACAGACACACACAGAGACATACAGACACACAGACATACGGACAGAATTGCAAAGCCCAGTTTTTCAGACAGGATTACGCATAAAACCTCTTAATTTTGATAAATCTGGATTAATAATTTTTGCCCGATTAAAATAAGTCCTCTATACTTCGGATGTGATGAAGGACTGAGGTGTAATACGGTGAAAATTGTTAAAATTTCAAGTGATTTTTGTGCACGATTACAATACTTTCTTTATACTTCGTATATACGAGAAAGTAAAAAAAAATTGGTATGTAGCATATGATATTAAAATTACCTGTTTGGAGAGTAGGTTGAATATCATGTGGAGTCTTTAAGCTAGGGGCGGAGCTCTCCTGTTTATGGTGGAGATCATCTTTTTTGTCGTACTGTGTCGTAGCTATAAAAGACATAGGGCTACACCAGTGGAACATTTTAGTTTGCACATATAGGCGTTTAGCGTGTATTTTGTCCAGTTATTTTAAAAGGATTACTTGTCAGAGATAAGTAGTAAATTTTGTATTTTCAAAAAATCATTTCAAAGTTTTAAAAAATACAATACATCTTATAGATTTTAATTATGATTTAAAACAGTAGTTAATATTTTTTTATATATTTCTATTAAATCATACAACCCATACAACCCTTAAATTTAAATGCCATATGATTATCAATTTATATTTTCTTAATTGTTATGTATAACTTTACACACTCGGAAAATAAGTAAATTCTTAGTTTAAAGTTTAAACTGAGATTAAGTCTGAAAATGAGTCTTTAAATTTTTAAAAATATTTAATGTGATTACGAGCTATGAGTCATCACGTAACGTGCCAATTAAAATATCCCAATAAAAGTTAAAGAATTAAACAGTGCAAGATTACACATTAAAATGTAACTATCCAAGCACCTAAATTCATATTTTAAACAATGGCCAGAAACACTTACGCTTGAGCAGGTTGTTTGGTGTTTGATAATATTCACCTGCAGACAAAAACGTTTAGCATTATTAACTTTAACATAATTATATTTCAGTATTTTAAACATCATTAAATGTCAGCAGCTTTTTAAAAAATCATGTTTTATTCAACGTATTCATTTATATAAACATTCATGAGTTTTTTTTTTTAATTTTTGTCTTAACAGATTTTGAATTAACTGTAATTTTAATTAAAGATAAACTCAATCTCTTTAACTTCCTAAAACCAATTTAATTGTACATAAATTATCTCAAAAGTTGCACGGCAAAATTAATTAAGATAAAATATTTATAGATCAAAATTTAAAAGTACATAAAAATAATTGGTTAATATAAATATGTATATGTATTAAAATATGTATAAACTATGATGCGTTGTCAAAACATATGATTTAAATATTTGATTTAAATTATATTACACGTATTAAAAATATGTTTAAATGTATCGACTAATAAAAATAAAAAGAGACTGTTAATTACAATTAAAAAAAACTCTAATACATTATCAAGTCTATAAGAAGCTGTTTTATAAAAACACCATCGTAAATGTTGGGTGTCTTACTTATATTATTGAATGATGTTGTTGGTGGTGCGGCTGTATTTTCAGCAACCCCGCGCTCGACAATCTGTTCTTCAGAATACAAAGGGACTTCGTCTGTAATGAAATAATGACCCAAGAAATACTAAATAAATTATTGAATCTATATGTATTTTAGTCTATCATATCTAAATTATTTATATCGCAAAAATATGTGTTCAAAGTTTATTGCGTGAGTATTTTATTGTAAGTGCTCTATAAGCATGACCGTTTACAAGCATTTTGGTGTGTAATTACTCTAATGTGTAAGCGTGCTTGTCTGTACTTACCATCTACAGTATAAGCGTGTTTGCGCGTACTTACTTTACTGTGTAAGCGTGGTTGTGTTTGCTGACCATGTGTAACCGTGTTTGTGTGTACATACCTTCTACTCTCGTCTTTAAGTTACCAAGCACGTCCTCATACAAAGAGTTGAGTTCTAAAAAAACATAAACCCTGTATAAACATATTCATTGATACATTTTTGTGTTAGTGCATATTGTAATTTGTAAACATTTGTGCACTACTTTATTTTATTTTGGTCAATAATAATAATTTCATGTTTTAAAATTTTGTCGTGCATTTGATCAATTTTATATGTTGCCACGCAGTTTTAACATTTGCGTTGCAATTATGCTTCGAACTTATTAAAACATCTGAAAAGAATATTTTTTGCGTTTCTTTTTGTTTTGTAAATAGCGTTTAAATTATGCTTATATCTGCAGATTTTGTTGCGATTGATGATTAATATCTTATCCTAGAATGTTATTTTTGTACGTTTACAGCTACAAGAGAATGAAATATCAAGTACAACAACTCTGATACTAATGTAAGAAAAGACATCTGTAGTCGCAAAATACAAACCATCGACGTTTCTTTTTTCCTCAGGTACAGCTAAAGATAGATTTGTTAAATCATTTTCTCGATTCTTTCTTTTCCGAAAAAGATTCTGCAACGATTAGATTTAGTCTAATTACATTTTATACCAAAACTGTTAAATAAAATATTTGTTTAAATGAAAATTTCTTTAGATTTTATGTTTTGCATTACCCCTATTTGTTTTAGTTTATTTTAATTTATGCTTTATGTTGTTATATACACCACTTACTAATCATATTTATGTATCAGTTTTACAACATTCCGACTCATGTATACTATTTAATTATACAACATGACAACTTTGCAATCAAAGAATCCCAAATTTAGGATGGGTTATATCATCCCAAATTACGATTAAAATGAAGTTAAGTTTAAGTTTATGTATAGTTTTCAAAGAAAGCGTGTAAGCCCGCGATAGTGGGTATGCGAAAACCGTGTTTAACTTGAATGTGTTTAACTCTACTGAGTTTAACTCGACTATGTTTAACTCGAATGTGTTTAACTCGACTGTGTTTAACTCGAATGTGTTTAACTCGACTGTGTTTAACTCGACTATGTTTAACTCGAATGTGCTTAACTCGACTGTGTTTAACTCGAATGTGTTTAAATCGAATGTGTTTAACTCGACTGTGTTTAACTCGACTGTGTTTAACTCGGATGTGTTTAACTCGAATGTGTTTAACTCGACTGTGTTTAACTCGACTGTGTTTAACTCGAATGAGTTTAACTCCAGTATGTTTAACTCGATTGTGATTAACTCAAATATGTTTAACTCGACTGTGTTTAACTCAAATGTGTTTAACTAGATTGTGTTTAACTCAAATGTGTTTAACTCGACTGTGTTTAACTCGAATATGTTTAACTCGACTGAGTAAATACAAAATTGTTTGCAAGACAATATACTTAAGAGCGCTAACTTATATTATAAAGTGAAATAAATATATATAGCTTTTGTTAATTTGAAGACAACCAAAAAAAAAACGTAGCTGACGGCATCACAATGACACTCCTCCGTTCTTTCAAGACGGTGAGGAATAATTTAGTCCACACAAACAAAAATTAATGTGTCGCTAAAATTATACCACAAGTACACAACTTTTACAATATTCAGATAAATGAGCTGAGATATTTCATTACTTTTATGCATGTTACTTTCACACTGTAAAAAGTTTTTTGCTTACCTGAAGAAAATTTAAAGAAATTCTTTTTCTCCTAAAGTTTTGAAACAATAGTTAAATGTAATTCACAATCAAATGAGACATTTAAAGAAATTAGAGGCATAATAAAACGAAAATTTAATTTCTTGAATGAAATGTTTTAAAATTGTTTTTAGAAGAACTGCTTAAATCAGCATTTTTTGTAAACTTTACGCACCTCTTTGGCTTTTGGCCGAGACCTAGCCCAGATAGAACAACAGGACCTGACAAATTTTTGAATAGATATAATTATAGAAAAAGAATCACTCACTTTTTCAGTGAAAAACAACTATTTAATTAGTATTTATTTTATCAACAATTAATGCTAGTATGTCTTTAACCGTCCATTAATTAGCAGAATTTAAAAATTTGAGATAATCCATAATGCCTCAACAGTGATTGGTTAAACGGCACGAAAGTTAATTGCTGCGTTTTTTACTAAGGGGTCATCCATAAATGACGTCACACTCGTAGGGGGGAGGGGGGGGGGTCCGTAATTTTGTGACGATGTGTGATGAGGGGGAGGGGGGGGGTTCAGTTGTTGCGACGTCACACTTTTGCAAAATAAAAAAGCAATGTTAGACAACGAATTTTAGACGTTATTTCGCGTTTTAGATAACTGTTTTAATAAATTGTAATAGTTTATACAAGATTTTAGAAAAATATCGATGTTTAAAAAAAATTCAACTGCAATTTTGAGGGGGGATGTTGGTTGAGGTGTGACGTAATTTTAGGGGAGGGTCTGGCTTTTTGTAACGACGTGTGACGGAGGGGAGGGGGGGGTAAAAATCGTCAAAAAAAGCGTGACGTCATTTATGGATGACCCCTAATCAAGAAAACATCTGACATATTTTCTAAGAAAACTCGAACTAGTGTTTTAATTTAACTAATTGGTGATATTCGCCCTCTTCCTTTGTTGTTTACACAGAGATTATCACATTTTTACTGGATGTAAGTAAAATGAGTTTAGATTTTTCTGTTAATAGTTACGATTTAATGTTGAAACTATTCTCGCGTTTCAGTCACACTAAAGGTACGAGGGATACTTAAAGAAAAGAACAAATTGTTTTACCTGTTGTTGCTTTGTCGCGGTTTTTGTTTGATTCGCTAAAATTTCTGTAATCTGTATTTTCTAGGTAGTAAACAGAAAAATAAGTAATCAAACTAAGATTATTGTATTAGTAATATGGGAAAACTTATCCTTATTTATTAACAAGTCCTCATGAAACAAATTAACAAACTCACACACACCAATTTAGTTATCGATATTGATTTTTTTCTAGAACAAATCTATTGTGCTTGATTTACATAAACACTAATGCCATCGATATCTAGACACATCTTAATATATTGTTATCTGACGGCTTCTAGACGCGACACATAATTTGAATTAGTTGTAAGACAAATACACATTCATTAAAGTATAATTCACCAATACATAATTCAAACGAGTTTTTACATGAATACTTCAACTGTTTAGTACAGTAATGACGTTTAAATTTTTTGTGTTTAAATTTCAAGGAAACAAATATAAAACTCACCTGATTTGTTTCCTGTCACACGGTTCTGTATTAAAGAAATTATTAGACTAGTAATAAATTTGTCTGTAAGGTATGATAATACCACACTCGGTAATGGACATGGACATGGACATGGACATGGACATGGACATGGACATGGACATGGACATGGACATGGACATGGACATGGACATGGACGTGGACATGGACATGGACATGGACATGGACATGGACATGGACATGGAC